GATCTCCTCCTCAGGAGGTGAACGAGCCCTGGGCAAGATCTCATTTTAGTACATAGGGATGGTCAAAGGACCAGCCTCCACCAGCAGCAAAATGTTCAACTGGGCTTGAAACTGGTGGGGATTGGGATGCTCTTGACCACCAAGTCCTGGGAGCAAAGTACTTCTCATCCCAAAGATGCCTTTATCTTTTGAGGCAGTGTTCATACAGGGATCCAGACCTCTACTTTCCAGTCTGCCCAGAACTTTGGATACAAAAGCACTCTGAAACCTGGGGCACCAACCTGTCACACCCCCACTGCCCAGTTCCCTTACACCATTTCTCCCTGGCACAATACAATTTTCTTCCCACATGGAGAAATCAATCAGTGGGTGTTATGACAGCTAGTAATTTCCAGTTACCTTCTTCCTTGCACATTGAATTCGGGCAGAAGCAGAAGTGCATAAATACCATTTGGGTAACTGTTATTAATACTTAAACCTGCAGCCTAGTGGTTGCTCCATGCTGGCAGGTTTTCTTACTGTTCACCTCCCCTCTCCATCATACTGGATGCCTAAAAATTTAATGTTCTGTGATGCTGATTAAGACAACCCTCTTGTTCTCAAGCCCTGATTGTTTACATAAATAGACACTTTAATGCATTTTGCCAGCAAGATTTCCTTTGACTCCTTGGCACAGATGGTTGATATTTCCATGCTGCAGCAGCTATTAGATTGTAATGTTACCAATGACAGCTTTACATCATCTGTACCCTGCTCTGTCCCCTGCAGCAGGAGGTACCAGGAATTCAGCTTGAGCTACTGCCATAGGCTTAGGCTGCTCCTGTCTCCTACAGAAGGGTGTTTGCCCACCTTGGCTTGGGGCACTGTGGCTTTGTGGACCCCTACAACACGCTGCTGTAGCTGGGGGTCCTCCACTGGCTCACTCATGCTGGGGACATGTCAGGCATCACCTCATCCCACTTCCTTGAAGAACTGCCTCCCATGGATAATGAGCTTTTCTCCTTGGGTGCTGTCCCAAAGAGTTATTCACCCTTGTCAACTCTCCAATTTGCTCTTAAAAATCAACAAAAGGCTCCCCACAGGTCTGAACCAATTCTTTCTTCCTTCTTTCAGAGACACCAGGGTTTTGGATCAATCTAGATCCAAGTCCACACAAGACCCATGCAGGGAATTGAACCCATTGCAGCTTTGGGGAGGCCAGTGAAGGACTCTCCAGTCTCTTTCTTGTTATGTTAACAATGGCAAAACACCGCAGAGACGGCGGCTGAAATTCAAGTGCTATTTAAACAAATGAATATGTAGGGTATAGTTCATACAATGTGAGTTCAGACAAGGAAACTCAGAACAGCCAGGAAGCTCAATGTGAACCAGATTTTAAAAACAAAAACAAAACCTCCAAAGCCCTTCCTCAAGGAAGCCCTTGCTGAATTCTTTCCCCTACTGAGGAGTCCAACATCATGCCTCATACTAAAGCCTTTGCTTTTCACTCCAAGAAAGGACTTGGAGGAAAAAAAGGAAAATAAAAGCAGCACATTATGGAACAGAGCCTGGCTTACAGCCAGGGCTGGGGGGAAAGCAGCACAGAAAACCTCTGGTTTAGCAGCACATTTTACTCCTGTTCTATGGCAGAACAATCTTTTGCAAAGCCGCAGCTGTTTGAACCCCCAGTGCTGCAGAGGCTCAGCTTCCCTAAGGTGAATCAGTCAATTGGTTCAACAGTGTATTTAAAATCCCCTCGAGTCTACCTTTAAATCACATTTATATTCCTCTACCCAATGCTAATAGTTTCTACCTGCATTTTGCTTCATCTCTGTAGAAAAACAAGCTATTTCGCAGCCACATTAATAATCTGTGGCAATCTGGTTGTCATTTTCCTGATGGAAAATTTCCCACCACTGCCCAACAGCCACAACGTGGCGAGTGCTGCGAGCACCTCACACTGCACTGCCTCCCTCCCACTGCACCGAGCCAGAACAGCAGGAGCTGCTTTCAGATGGGTGGGATGGGGAGAATATACAGAATTGCAACCAGTCAGGTGTACCTACAGCTCAGGCATGTGCAGGAACCACGCAGAAACAACCTGGTGTTGAGTGAGAAAGTCAGCTCGTGTCAGAAGGAGCCTAGAGGAAACCCAGCTCTTGGAGCCCCTGCCATGTGATGGTAAAATGTGTGTTGACAATTTACTGTGGAAGGTGGCCTGTGGAAAAGAGCTTTGGGTGGAAGAGGAGGTTCATCCAGCAGCCCTGGCCACGGGTGCTCAGTCTGGCCAGGTTGACTGATGGGTGAATACAAATAAACAGCAAGAGGTGGGGGCCAGTGTTTTCAACACACTCCCAATTGCCACTCATTCGTATGTGCCTTCAGAGAACCACTGCATCTTAAATATCCAGCCAGGCTTAGTCTGGTTGCCATGTCTGTTAAACAAGGGACTAAAAGATTCTTTCAGGTCCCTCCAGGTTGCCTGTCCCAAGGTGAGATGTCAAACCTCCAGAGGAGCAAACTTTTCTCCCTGGTGCTATGAGGAGCTCAGCTCACCAGCTCCTGTCTTGAAGCCCAGGATGGTCTGGTGGTCCCAGAGCTGCTGAACCCCCAGCAGATGGGTGGGCAGAAGCCTCTTCCTTCTTGAGTAACATCCAGCCTGTCCTTCCTCTCAGAGAGGAGCAGCCCCTCTGCCAAGGGCCACTAAACAACACAAGGTTTTGACATGACACTTTAAAATAGACCCTTAAAATATTTACCCTAATATAGCCCACTGTGCCCAGGGCAGCATTGGAAAGCCCAAGAGGTAAATACTGTCTAAATAAGCAGAGAGCTTAATATAGAAGGTCATGGAGTCAAGTACTCTTCAAGCGCCCTCACATCTTTGCAAACATCAGTCAGTAAAGATAAATTTGACATGGTTGATCACTCACACTTCTAGGAAAGGCTCTTCTGAAATAAAAAAAAATCATGTTTCGGTATTTATAATCTCTGCAGGAAGGTCTGGTCCAGCATTTTGCCCCTCTAATTCCTGCTCTCATAACTGTCAGTTTATGAAATTGCCAAGTGTAAGCCTTATGAGGTTACAAAGAAACACCTCTCTGTTCTCTGCCACCGCTTCAAGAAGATGAACTAATAAAAACAAGCTCTGCTATTCCCTCCAAATGCCTGGAGAAAGGAATCTGGAACAGTAGTAGCTTCAAAATACCATTAAAGAAAGCAACCACCCACAGTGTCTGGAGTCCCCCCACGCTTATCAGCTCCCTTCACCCTTGTTACCCGAAAACCACACAAAAATCTGCCTCTTGTCATCCAGATGTTTGCTGGGACTCACCACTGGCCAGGGCAGAAACCAGAAACCTCCTGCCCCACGTTTCCCAAGGCAAAGAATTAAGGAGTTGTGTTGCACTTGGGGTGTTTGATGATGGGAGCTTGCTCAGCCACCCGTCCCCAGTGGGGTGGTCCCCCCGGCTGGGAGCCCACACCAGCATCTCCCAAAAATGCTCCTGGGAAAGGGAAACAAGCTTTGACAATCCGTCCCTTGGGCAGTCACAGCAAAGACACTGTGGATCTGCTTTCACCCTTCAGCCAAGGGAGGAATATAAGTGTTTATTGGTTTTTGTGAACCACCTCCTCCCAGTGTCTTTGAAGATAATCTCCCCAAGATTATTAAATAAAGGTAGAATCACTCCAGCTTCCCTGCAGAGCTCCCACCAAGGGCAGCAAATGAAGGTGAAACAAGCTGGACTTTGCAGTGTGCCACGGTTTAATGTGTACTGAAAACAACACCCAGCCAGCTAGACTGCATCAGGGCATCAGGGGGAAGGTGCTGGCTGGAAGGGACACATTGAGCACAGCCACGTCACCCTGGCACGAGGTCACTGAGGCATTAATGCCACAGGATGACAGGGGAATTGGGAGTTGATCCACAGCCACCACTGCTTCCACCAGGACCTGGGGGAGAAACTCCTCTGCGTGCAATTGTGAGCAACTCAGCAAACATGAAACGTGCCAAGAAGGGAGAAAAGTGAAGTCACGACTTGAGATGCAACAAGCTTCTCATCCAAGACTGGTGCTGGCACAGGGGTGGCTGTGTCTTTCTGGGAGCACAGAGCTCTGACATCCTGGGAGAAACAACATGCTGGGAGCCCTCAAGAATGGGAGGGGTTTATAAGAAGGTTTTGCAGCATCCCTGCATCCCCACTAATAAACTCCTCACCCTAAAGGAAGCATTCACCCTGCAACCCCAAGATAAGTGCTTGGGGCAGGATCAAGGATCATGCCAGGCAGGCCCCAGCAGCAGCCACAAAATTCATGTGGGGCCACAGCATGCAAAGCCTCTGAAAGCAGAGTTCTTGTCATGGAACATCATGGAGATGTTTCAAGAGGAACGTGGTGACTCCTTTTCTTAATGACTATATATAGGGAAAGCTTGCCAGGTGACAAGCCGTGGGAGACTGGAGCACAAGCACTCTCTTGCCTGCAAGGACTCAGATAAATGAGCAAAGAAATAGCCAGTGATGAGTCTATTTTGGACTCATCATTCTGCTGCTGGAGCGTTCACCGAGGAGGCAAAGCCATTTTTTACCTCCCTTCCAAAGAGTGCAAATTCAATAGAGTTCCCTGCCTGCAGATGCACTGACCCCAGAGCCCAGAGAGGCCACAGCTGCTGGCAGCACCTCAAGCACTGCCAGGCTCACAGTGACCTGGTGGCAAAGGGCTGCTCCATCTCCTTGGTCCCCTCACCACAGACCCCAGCACCACCTGGTGCTGCCCAGGGGACAGTGGTCTCGGCATGGTTGATAAGCTAGGATGCAGGAGCTCACATAGCCTGTTATCAGTCAAGGTGATTGCTGCAACCTGGAAGCAGCAGGCTCAGAGAAAAAAGCCTGCCTTATTCCATTCTGGGACTTTTCCCAGAGCATTCCAATGCCTCTCAACCCAAGCCATCCCACTGGATTCAGACTCATAACCCCCACCTGCAACTCCTCTGCAGCAGGAGCTGCCAGGACAGCACTCACCTGCTCGTGGTACTCGATCCCCATGCTGAGCGTGTTAATAAGAATGGCCACCATGATCCCACGGCCAAAATATTTGCTGTCCACGATCTTCTGGAAAGTCTCACACACCACATGCCAGAAGGCCAGCACCAGGTGGGCTTTCCTGGCCCGGGCTCTGCCCCTCTGTGGGTCCCGCTGGTCGCTGTAGTGGGCGTCCTGTGTGAACTCATAGACCCCCTCACTGTCCGAGTCGGCTGTCTCATTGTCCGACAGCTCGGCCTCGCCCGCCAGCGCTGTCAGGCAGTAAGGGCAGCTCTCAGGGCTGCAGGAGCCACCATCCAGCTTGCTGCAGGGGCTGGAGATCTTGCAAGAGCTTTGGCAGGCACCTGAAATGTCAGCAGAGCAGGGAAAGGGCAGCTCGTCAGCCGGGACTGGGGGGCTGCAGGAAGCAAACCCCACCCCCTGTTAGCACCAAGCCTTTGCCTCGGACATGACAAGCATTTCCTAATGGGAAAAGGGCTTCTGCTGGGTTAAAATCTTGTCTCTCCAAGTGCCTTCTCTCTGTTTATGAAGCTCTCTTTGCTGCCCCCAGAAAGATAGCACCCCAGCTGTGGGCCCTGAGCACACCTCACTACATCTCTAGCCATTACAGGAAGGAGGAAGCAATCGGTTCCCCCGGTCCTGGCAGGCTCCCGGCTGTAATTATCGGGAGGACTGTTAGCAGCCTTCTTTCCTTTTCCCTCTGCTGATGCTCCAAAACCACTAGCTTCCCTCTCCACATGTTGGCCTCAGTGGAAGATGCCAGATGTATCCTGGGTGAAATACCAGCAGGATATTCCCCAAAATTCCCACCAGCTGGCTGCAAGGAGAAAGGCAATGCACGCACCTGACTCCTGCATGGCAGCACCCAGCAATGAGAGCAACTCAGAGCCCAGATCTGTGTGTTCAGTCTCTGGGCAGCGCTGGGCTGGGGGCAGGATTTGGTCTCTTCCCTGCACAGCTCCTGGCTGGAAAGGTCAGTGCCATTGCAGTGGGGTGGAAAAGGCACTGACTGCCTGGGAAAGCTTGGCCAGAAACACTTCTTGGAGGCTGAGAGTGCTTGGACTAGACTGGCCTGAACTCCAGGATGTGGAGGGGAAAAGAGCATCTTGAAATGAAGATATGAAATCCCTGATCCAAGAAAGATGCATTCAGTGTCTGACTCTTACAGACTTCCTGAGCAAATCACAGATTTATAATACTCGGCATCTGTGATTGCCCTTGAGCACTCACACAAAGCAGACACTCAATCTCCCTGAGCCTTGTGTCCCATGGGAGCAGAGCTACACAGTGCTCAGGTGTGTGATAAGATCCAGATCTGGAAGGTGTCCATCTGCAAGCTCTAGCTGATTTTGGGAGTACAGGATTTGGGAAGAGCTCCCTGTAAACGGTTTAGGAGTGGAGGGAAAGAATGGAATTTTGCTCTAACATTTAATCTAAACCCACCCTCTGCAAAGTTTAAAGCCATTCCCTCCTTCCTGTCACTACATGTCCTTGTCAAAGTCCCTCTCCAGCTCTCTTGTACTCTTCTCATCTACAAGACGGGGATTGCAAAGAAAATGGATTCACTGAAAACCCTCATATGCCTTGGATTATTATAGATATGAAGTCTGGGAGGTTGAAACCTCCCTCCTAAATTTGGCTGTAAGAGGCATTAGGTAGGTTGTAAGGTTCCTATTCATCTTACCTGGAAAGCCATCGCCTTTCTCTGTAACGTGGACTGAGAAGAACCCTGCAAAAATTCAGGGAGAGAAAAAAATTAGGACAAAAACTGTATTTCTGGAAAGCAGCCCCAGATGTAGACCCAAGCCCAGCTCACCTGTGCTCTGTGTCTCCAGCAGCTTGTGCATGGTGCTGTACGGACCGGGCGGGATGTTGAGGCTCGTCAAGGTGCTGCTCCCAGCACCCACCGCCGCCTCCCCCAGGTTCTTCTCTTTCAGCATCTCATGGGAGGTACTGGAGTGCACCGTGGGGTACACCTTGCTGCCCACTATGTTCTGGGGGATCCCTTCTGGGCTGGGCAAGCCGAGGCTCGGCTGCGTCAGGGACGAGCGGCAGCGCACCGGCTCAAAGTGACAGTCGGCGTGGTAGATGCTGTGCACGGACTCGGTGTTGCTGGGAGAGGTGCTGGGGCCCCCCAGGGAATTGGGTGCCGAGGGAGGGAGCATCAGCCGGTTGGTCCCATTGTGCAGGGAGCTGGTCTCCACGTCGCTGATCTCCGGGCTGGCACGGGGCGCTCGCAGGTTCCCGTTGCCCAGGTGGTAGTGGTGGTGGTGGTGGTGGTGGTGGTGGATGAGGTGGTGCACGGAGGATCTCTTCCTGCCCTGGCGCTTCCTGGCGCGCCGCTCGGCCCTCGCCTTGCTCGTGGGGCTGCTGAGGAAGCCCATCCTCACGCCTGCTGCCCTGTAGGCCTTCACCAGCTGCTTGCTGCCTTTCCGGGCAATGTAAACCAGGTACTTGAGGAGCTCGTCGTAGCAGCTTCCTGGCTCTGAGAAGCTGGCAAGGGTGCTGGCGTTGGACAGGTACCGCACGCGCTGCTCCTTCATCAGCTGGCTCTCGCGCTGCTTTGTCTCGGAGAACTGCGTCGCTATCACCACCAGGCACAGATTGATCATGAAGAAGGAGCCCACCTGAGGGGACAGGGGACATCAGCCACCTCAGTGCAGCCGTGGCACCCCACAGATCTGCCGGGGACAAAGAGTGGCAAACCCCAGCCAACCCCACCCCCCGTGTCACCCAGCAGGGACCAGTGGCTGGGCTGATTCACCCGCCGAGCTCCCGCCCCAGGGACTCCCACGCCAGCCCCTCCATGGAGCACGTCAGAGATCAAAGATGAGAGAAGATTATTTTGACAAAAATCTCTTGCTCTTTTAAGATGGTGTTTTTCTCTCTCCGCAGACAGCAGTTGTAATTATCACAATTAGTGACATTACGACGAATGCACTGCGCCTTCCTGATAGGAGTGTTTTTCTGCCAGTGTGTGGGCAGCTTGCGAGCAGATCCCTTTCCCCTGCTAATGGGATTTGCGGGTGACTGTTACGCAAGAGCATCAGCAGCCTGTACCCACAGCTTGGAGATTTTCTTTCCAACCAGGGTTTCATGAGGTTCTGCCTTCTGCAGAGCCCAGTCTGGGTCGCAGGGAATTACTGACGTGCTAACGGGCTATCACACACTGCTAATGTTACTCGCACGGCATCTGGAAAAGTACTGCTTGCTCTTCCTCTCCGTCATCATGGGGAGGCTGAGAGCAAGGGTTTGTTTCTCTCTTGGGGAAGCTAACAGAAAAAAAACAGCATCATGGATTAAACAACTGTCTGCTTTCTCGTCAGGGTTTGTGTCCTGGTTTGATGAGGAGCAGAAATCCCCACAATGACCTAACTGACAATGTGCAGCTATTTTTCTGGACTTAGACCAATAGTGTAGCAAGAAAAGGACTCATCTCACTTAGCTACATCTGAGTGAGACACCTAATGATCCTTTAGAGTCAAGAGAGAAATAGGCGCATCAAGTCTGCAATGCATCTAATTTATTTTGGATGTCTACCTTCAGAGTAGATGAATCACCCCCTTAAAGCACCTATTTTTCCCCCTTGACGATAAAGGGAGTCTAGACAACGGAGCTCAGCCAGTCACTGTAGACAATTCTGCTTGCATAGATGAAGCCCATCATGGAGCCCACCACACAGAAACTCTTTGTTGGCTCCTTTGTGGGTGGTCTCAGATGATGCTGTGAAGTGTGGGTGGGCTGTGGGCAGTAATCTCTTCCCTCCTTTCTTAACGTGCTCTCTGAAGTTTGGGACTGTTTTCCCATAACATCCCCACGGCACCAAGGACCCAGCCAGATGGGTTCTTCAATGTGGGGGAATTTTTGGGCAGCCTCTTCCCCTTCTGGCACTCAAAAACTGATCATGTTAAATTTGCCTACTTTAAAACTTAAATTCAAGGTGGCAAGCAAGAGAGAGAAGCTTGAAGTACAAGAAGAGAAGTAGTAGAAACAGCAGCAACAACGTAAGCGTATCTACCACTGCTTGAGCACATCTCTTTCCTTCCTCATGTTTGCAGCTAAATGCAGCTGCAGCACAATTCCACAGGGAAGCTGCGTTTCTCCCAGCAGGCTGGTTGCTACTTCAGCTTTTATATTCACTCTATCTTCTGCCCTGTTCCTCTGGGTGACTCCACTCTGCTCTCTCCAAATGCCAGGAGAACCCCCTTGCACCACTAAGGGCCACTCACAATGATCAGGAGGATGAAGTAGATGAAGTTGTAGAAGGAGTGTGCATCCATGACAAAGTACATGATGTCCACCCAGCCTTCCAGCGTGATGACCTGGTGGAGACAGGAAGGGAAAACAAACTGCTGAAGGCTCAGATACAACAAAGGTGCACAGGCAATGTTTCTTCTGGCTGGGTCGTGTCTGACACCCCATAGTAGGTCTTGGTGCAGTACAAGATGCTGAGGAACCAACTCCTGCTCCTCCCAATGCCAACAGCCATGTTATCAGCTGCCCAGGCTGAATCTAGCCCCTTTCCAGGTGGACTTAAGGACCATTAGTGCATTTTGCAGAAAGAAGAGCAGTCTCTAGGCTGTGGCCCACACCAACATCATCAGACTGCACACCCACAGGGTTTTCTCCATGCATGTGAGGTGGAGACATTCTCAAAACAGGCATCATGTTGTATCACTAACACTTTGAGCATCTGTGCACTACTATGTAGGTGTTCACTAGCACAAAACAGCCCCCAGGAGTGCAATTACACAGCCCTGGGAACATTTTGGGGGCAGGACCTGCTGTTTGCCCACCTGGTGACAATTGGCAGACAGGGCTTACCTGAAATATTGCAATCCAGGCGTAGCCAATGTTATCAAAGTTGATGGCTCCCTTGAAGGGGTTGTGCTCCCCAGCAGAGCAGTTGGTGTAGTATTGGTTCCAGTTCACACAAGAGGTGTTGGTGGTGTCATTGTAGGAATAATAATCCAGAGTGCACTCCAGACCCTCTTCCCTCCGTGTTGGGATGCTCCGGCAGTAGCGCATCCCATTCTCCCGGGGCTGGGAGCAGATGAAGGGATTTTCATCTTCATTCTCTGTCTGGTAGTACCGCTCCAAATCCACCGTGTAGGGGCTGAAAGAGTCCAGACAAGGCTGGGGTTTGCACACGGGTTGCAAGCAATCTGGCAAAGAGACAGCTGTAACAGCATAGAAGTCTGACATCTGCTTTTCTGGATCTTAAAGCTATTTTTTAAAGAAGGAATCCTCTTGGAGTTACTGCAGCCCCACGGGGTGAGCTGATGTCCTTAACTGAGATTTGAGAAATTGAGGCAGCACACTCGGCCCCTTGGCAATCCCTTGATGGCATTATTAAAAGTTACTCCCTCTAGAAGCACTCTGGCTTTGACTTTAGGAGACTAAGGATTCAGAGTGACAGGGCTTCTCTGAAATGTCTTTGCTGCAGTAAGATGGAAATCAGTCAGTTTAAGCTCCTGTATGTCCTGTCCTTCTGGAGATGCTGAGAATCATTTAGGAATACTCTATGTACAAGGACCTCCCAAAATTCCTAAAAATCAGAGACAGGGACTTCATCTGCATTTCACCATGTCAGTTCAGCCCACAGGTAAGCTCTAAATTCCCTCTGAGGGTGGTCTTACCACAGCAAACCAGGCAAAAATACTCTTTAGGGAGATAAAACAACCCATGGCCAGTCAGAGACTGGCTTCTTGCTCCGCACACACTTTCTCCTTAATGCTGCCAGGACTCCCACTAAAGCTTGCAAAGATAATTTTAAGCCTAGTTCAGCCTGGTTAATTCCTGCAGAATTTCCTGTATTACCCTTCAAAGCCTATCTAAACTGCTGGAATTCTGGCTCAATTAAACAGCACCCAAACCTGTGGCTCTATTGGATTTACTCGGTGGTGAGGCTGTCCCCCTGCTCTGCTGACATTTACTTAACAGGGACATGTCCTGGTAATGACACTTCCAGCCACCCTTTGAAGGCATGACCTGCAAGAGGGGTGGGAGTTGATTAGGAGGTAGGTGGGAGTTAATTTGGAGGTGGGTGGGAGAGGTTGGAAGATGCCTCCTGCCAGCCTGTCCACAGCAGCAGCAGCAGAAGCAGCAGCAACGTGGTCCTGCTGTGTACAGAAAAGAGGCTTTGGGCTTGTAGGATTCCTCCCTCCAGGTGTGAATCCAGTCAGATCCACCCTGGGAGTCAGCAATCCACTGAAAGGTGACCAGCGTGGTAGAACTTGGCAGAGCCATCGAGGGTTTGCAGTCACCTGCCTTTCTCCAAGCATTTGACAGGATGGAGATGGTGGAAAAAAGCAGGTAGGTAAAACAGGCATGGAAACCCTGAAAGAGGCCGTCAGCTACCAGGTATTTCAACCACTGTCCAAAGAGTGCTACATCAGGCCAGAAGACTGATAACAACAATTCTTTTGGCCTTAAAATTCAGGGATCTGTAAAAATTAACATTGGGGTAGGGACTATCTCTTGCTCTGAGGCTGAAAATCATCTAGCATCAAACATGCACAGTAGTTCCATTAGCTTCTCCTGGGGTTTAGGGGGGACTACAAAAGTTGTGGCAATAAACACCACCAGCTGCTGCAGGGGTTTCAGACCTGGGCATCTCCACACAGAAAATATCACACATTAGTGATATGGTGAATTTAGAAAGCCTGAACTCCCATTCTCAGAGGGTTTTTTTTGGAGGCTTTTAACTATCAGAAAAGTTCCCAAGTGCCAGCTGAGAGTTAAGGACAGCCTGCAAATGCAAATGGCAAATTGTCACAGCTCGCTCTGTACCCGCTGTGTGTGCCCGAGCAGGAGTGATGGTGGCATTTAGGAGCAGGGAGCATTTAGAGAAGATTTTTACAGAGGAGATCCTGGAGGGACAGCCTCCCTCAAGCTGGGCAGACACTGGTGCTGCCCACACAGACTCACATGCTGAAGTTCTCGGGGAGGAAGCAGCGGTTCCTGAGCAAACCTGCCCACAGCTGGACTCCCACGATGCCGAAGATGAAGAAGACGAAGAAGCAGAGGAGGAGGACGTTCCCCAGCATGGGCAGCGTGTCCAGGAGCAGAGTCACCAGGATGCGCATACCTGAGGCAAAGGGGAAGAGTTTACGTTGGATTTTCTCTCTCCAGCTATGTCCTCCTGACCTTTTCCTTTTCATTGATCCTTTTACACCTATATTTCCTTCTATTCTTTTCCTCCTATCCTCATCACCCACATGTGGTTTGTGAACAGTCACGGCTTCCCATCCCCTTTAGCTTCCCCCCAAAGCCCCTGGAACAGCCCCTTTCATTCATGCCTTGCTCCTGAACACCAGACCTATTTTCCCTGTTCCTCAAGCCCTCTTCTCTAAAGTTTACTAGCAATTATGTTTCCTCTCTTCCCTCAGATTAAATTCTGATGTTCTTTGCTCAATCGTATTTCTTTCTCCACTCAGTATATTTCAAAATTCCCTTCCCTCCCTATTTCCCCTCATCTACCCTAAATGCCCTCTCTTCCTTAAAATACAGGACTCTCCCTGGCAGTTAATTCTCACAAGTTCAGGAACAGCCAGTTCTGTAACAAGGACAAATTGATGGTGACTTCAACTTGACATTTACACACAAAAAATTTATTTCATCTGACATCTGTGTAATATTCTGCTCATCTCTCACTCTCTTTCTTTCCCCATGTTCTGCACTCTCTCACTTGCTTATATTGGCTTTTATCTAAAGAAAGATTTACTGTTGCACCCTTACTTTGATGATACAGGAACACTTTTTTTCTCTTATCCTGATGCTGTCACCTCCTCTCTCAGGGTTTTTCTTCTATTCCTTTACCAGGAACAACCACCTTGCATCAAATCCTAATTACTAAAATTACTTTCTGTGGTTATTGCATTGATAATCAAACAAAGCTCATTTTTAATTTTTCCTACCTTGCATTTCTATCCCGCTGTAACTACACTGCAGAGAAGACAAGATAAATTACCCAGGATTTCAAAACACATTAAGTGAATTACATCCCCAGTTAGGCAGTTGTGGATAAATTCAGCTGTCCACCAGTTCAGCAGTGGGGATAAAAAAAATAAAAAAAACAACCACTGCAAACAGGATTCTGAAGCTTGTGTAATGATTGAAACATCAGCAGCACAGCCAGATTAAGTTCAAGAGTCAGGATCAGGAAAATGAATAGATCCCAGGCACTTCCAGCATCAGCATAGAGAACTGAAGCTGATTAGTTCTCACCAACACATTGGGCCAGTTCAGATAGGGGAGTGCAGACTGGGATTTAATTTGGCTAAAACAGTACTGGGCTTGATGACCAGGATTGTTGGACCAGGAAAAGGATCCTTCTGGTGCAGTTGTACTGATACTTAACACACCTGGTCCACACAGCATCTGGCAGGGTTCAGCGTGCTCAGGGTCCCTCATGGAGCACTGGGAGGGTTTGTGATGGCCAGTGCAGTGGGGCTGGGCTGCCATGCAGCTGCAGGCAATGCCACCCACTGCTTACAGCAGGGCTGGGAGCCCTGTCCGTGACCCGACACACCACTGCCCATCCCACCCAGGTCTGCTTTGGAGATGCTGGGGCTGTGGGCTGTGAGGACCAGCTCGGGGGTATTCAGCACTTCCCAGGGGGCTATCTTCAGGCACAACAAGACTTCCTCACCACAACTTCTCCAGGGAAGGATGGAGTATCCCAGGGATGGTGGGAGTAGCACAGCTCAGACCCCACTGCCTGTCTCAGACCCCACTGCTGGCTCTATCAGTCCCTATCACCTGCAGCCCTTTAGCACCTCCTCAGACCCTCTCCAGATGAGAAAGGCAGGTGTCTGAAGACAGTCCTGGATAATTTACTGACTCATCTCTGATGCCACAGGTGTCAAAAGGAACCCAGAGAGTGGTGGTAGGACTCAGCACCGCCAGGCTTGGGCAAATGTTTGAGCTTTGATGTAAGATGAAAGCATCTGGGTTTGCCCTCTCATCTTTGGGGCATGGATCCAGAGAGCCCCAGCAGTGAGGAATAAGAACTGACTTACTGGGGACCCTGTTGATGGCCCTGAGTGGCCGCAGGACTCGGACAGTGCGGACGGCCGAGAAGCTGACGTTCTGCAGGTCCAGGGAGTACTCCAGCATCCTGAGAAAGACACAAAACCAAGGAGGGGTGTCACGGATCCGGTGGAGAAATGTTAGATTATCAAACATTATCAAGCAAACATTAAATGCCAACCACTCACAGAGGGACTTGTTACTGCATCTCTCCCATCCAGAAAGTTTGCCAGAGGAATTAATTAAAGCTTGTTTGCATGTCAGGATAAAGTCAATGAGGGGGAATGTGATACACCAGCTCACACAGCCACAGATCTCTCTCTCTCTCTTCTGGTTTGGTTTTTGCACAGGGCCAGGCAGAAGCTTCTGAAAGTCCCTGCACACTCCAGAGAGGAAATTTCCAGGCATAACCCAGCTTTTATCAATTTTATGGGTGCTGTAATGAATCTGAGCTTGTTGTGCTGAGCACCACCACAGTTCTGAAAGGAAGAACATCTCCTGGTGCAGACCCCTCTGTGGGCCACAGGAGATGATCAGCACAGAGCACTGAGCTCTGCCGTCTCTGCTCAGCAGACACCCTTGGGCAGGTGGGACCAAAACTGGTGACACTTGCAGATAAAAAATGGGGCCAACAGGGACCTAGGAACCTCCCAGTGCTCCCACTGTCTGACAGGGTTATTCCCCAGCTCAGGACATAGAGGAGCAACATTCACAGGACTTAGTCCAAGGATGGGATGGCTGCAAGTCCCTGGGGTGCCCCAGCACCTCTCATTCTTCTCACCTGTGCTCAAGCACAACAGAGTCATCAGTCACAACACCTCCAGGACTCTGCTCTCTGGCTGTGGGAAGATCCAAGAGCTCTGCCCAAAATATTCTTGAAGAGGCAGAGCCAAGCAAAGGTAAGAAAGACAACCTTGAGGCTTTGTGGACAGTCAGGCTCCCACTACCACAGGCAACCACAGCATATTAATCTCTTCCAAAAATTCCATCTCCAAACAAGCTGGGTGGTTCCCTCCCTTCGACTCTAATGGCTAGAAGCCTAACTTCCAGCCTGAATTTATTCAGGACAAGCTCATATCCATTTGTTCTTATGGCAGCACTGTCTTTAAAGTATCTTCTCTAGCTGTTGTTTGTCCCTGATGTTTACTCACCCAGGTATTTATGGAGGACAAAGCACATCTTCTCTCAGCCTTGATTTTGGAAATTCAAATAGATCAAGTTCTTCCAGCCCCATCTCACAGACAGGCTCTCTGCTTCTCAGTCCCAACCTTCCTCCACGCTTGCCCTGGTCTGAATTAATCTCACCTGATTAGGAATCAAGTTTCTGGAGGAGGTTTTGGTCACTCCTTGCACCAAGGCATCGGTGCCGTCCCGTTCCTCCCTGCTGGAAATCCCACAGGATCTCTCCGTGCTGTGTTACGTTTGCCTTGCTGCAGCCCGCTGGAGGCTTCTGTTCTTGCTGTGATCAGCCAAACCCACTCTCCTCCTTCTGGCCCCCAGCAGGTGAGGGGGGCCCCAGGCTTGAGAAGGCTCCCCTTCCAGCCCCCATATAAACAGCTCCATGTTCAATGCAGTGAGGATCTACCTGACATGCTCTAATGAGAATGATGACGATCAAACCATACCTAAGTTTAAAATAACCTCAACATATTCCTCTCTGCTTCGCTGACCCCCACAGCAACGGGACAGTCCCAGGAGATGGAGGTGGGACATGCACATATGGATATTACGAATTTGTTCTCAGCCCCCTGACCAGAAAGGAATGCAGTGTATTCACAAAATCCCACCTGATCTCAGAGTGGGAAACCAGTCCCTTCCTCAGTGCACAAGACTCCCTGCATTGGGCAAGCTTTGGCTAAGGTGAGGAGAGGGGCAGTGGCTTCCCTGGCTTTCACTGCTGTCAAGTTTCACTCGCTGTTCAAAGAGATTTCTGTATGGTTGGCAATATTCAGGTAAAAAGCCCATATCAAACATACAACTTTTCTTTCATCCATTATTAAAACAGAGGCTGCGAGCAAAATTCAGAGCAGCACGTGGTTAAATGCACCAAGAGAAATCATTTTCTGATTAATGACAGCTCCAGACGCACTTCCAGAGATGTGAGTGCTTGTAAGCTGCAAAGGATGTGCTGTAAAATGCATTTTGATTTAACTTATTAAAGAACAATTATAATGCAGAATTTAAAGGAACAAGCTGAACAACAACCCAGAGGCTTAAGCAAACACTTGAAGACCAAGACCAAGAGCAAGAAGGTGGTCTCCTGCCTCTGTTGCTGGGCACTGCTACCAGAATTGGTGTTACCAGCACTGCCAAGCTCAACCCCAGACACAGACTACAGGGTCCACACCTTGGTGGTAACCAACAGCTCAAGTGCCTTGAGAGAACTCAGTATTAGAGAAAAGAATGTCAGTAAAGCTCAGTCACTAAAGAGCAAGTCCAGTGAGAACACCACCAGTTCCCAGCTCTAAGGTCACTTCCCAAGGCAAGGGGAAGCATGGGAAGAATCAATCCACATCCCCGGCAAGGGAAGATACTCAGGGAGAGCAAATGTCAGGGTGTCACCAGCTGGTGAGGTGACAGGTACATTTACCAGCATATATAGCATTTATGCATTGGAAATCTGCAGTGCAAAAGGCTCCTGATGAAGCTTCAATTCAAATGTCATCTCTGCTCAGAGGGGAAGGCATGATGCCTGTCAGCACCGCTGCCACCAACCTGGTGCCCAGCCAAGTTAAAGGCTCAGAGAGAAACTCAGCATTAAATAGGATGGATTCACAGCTCGTCAGGGTGATTAGCAACCCCCGATCACTGGAGTTATTCAGAAGGAAAGCGGAAATATTTAGGACTTTCTAAGAATAAAAGTGGAGCATCTGCAAAGCCAGACATACAACGGGCTGCTAGTGGGAGGCAGAGAGGGAGCTGATGCAAACCTTTGGCAAATGCTTCTCCAAGCACGAAAACTCCCAGAGCTCAGCTGACAGGCAACAAGGATGGCTCAAGATGGACCAGGCAGGAGGAATTCATTCCTATTCCACCTGGAGACAGTGAGTTGGAGCATGTTGGGGTTTCTCTCGTGTAAAACCCACCGCACCAGGAAGGATTGCCTGAATGCAATGCTAGGCAGCAACCTGGAGGCAAAGGGCTTCCAAAAGTGATGCTCAGAGCATCACAGGAAGGGTTCAAGGGGCTCTGCTTACCAAGAGAGTCCCTAACAGGGCACAGAAATTCCAGAGAAGTCATTCCCACACCTAGCCAGCACTGCATCCCTGAAGGACCCTGCTCTCAGCTCTGACTCTGGTCCCATCGCCAGGATCACTCCTGCTCAGGAAGCAGATGTGAAAACCCAGCAGAGTCACACAGAGAGTTTCTGCTGAGAGCACTTTCCAGGGAAAGCTTGAACTCTCCCCTTCCACAGATGGGTGCTGAGGGTGCTGCACAGCCAGGGGATGTGACCAAGGTCACACAAGGAACGGGTGGCAAAGCAGCAGTGGCTGCAGGCAGGGCACCCCCGAGAGCTGCCCACCCCCTACACACTCAGAGCCCTGCACTGCTGGGGAGAGATAGGCTGAGATTTATTTACTGCGTTAAAAGGCTTCAAAAAGCAGGCATAGAGACACCCTTTATCTACAAAGCACAGCCATCAGTGGGTGATATTAAGCCATCGGTGCTGGAAAAGACAAGGGGAAATTATTTAGGTGGTGTATCTTCAGAAAGCTGGAATGAAATTTCCCCCCGCTCTCGCCAGCTTGGCTGTGCTCTGCTTTCATTCAGCGGCTGCGTTTGGAGCCTTGCGACTCTCACCGCATTCGTGGGTGTTGCTTAATTTTAAAAATACTCATTTCAATCAAGCTGAACAGAAGAAAAAGAATAGCACACAGAGAGCATGAACCCTGCAGCCTGCTGGATCTGGCTGCACCATGTGTCCCAGCCAGGACACTTGACTAATGAGGCTTTTGAAGCAGCAGCAAGTTCAGCTGAAGAACTGAACGAAACAAAAGAATTTCCTTTTTAAAAGTCCTAAAACTGTAAAAAAAACTTCCAGACTTTTCACAGGTGGATTTGAGTCAGCTCAGCTGCGAGGGAGAATGCTGAGGGCTTTCTTTTACCCAGCAGGTTTCTGTGAGTCAGGGATGCAGCTTGTTCAGGATGCTTTGCTCCAAAGGCTGTGGGAAGGCAGCACGGAGCATCCACAGCCACGGGTTTCATCTCTGCCCAGGTCTTGGCTATCCTTTATCCACCCAAAAGTAACTTAAAACATTAAATTGCACAGCTCAGCCCCAGATATCGAAGTCCTGGAGGTTCATGATGACGAGTATTGGCTTGATGTTCTGGCACTTCTGCTCAGAGCACAAAGCACCTAATTTGGGATTAGTCAGGACACTGTGAGGCCGTGGAGGAGGCTCCCAGTTTCCAGGACACTCAAATCCATCCAGGACACTCGTATCCATCCTGGAAAGCCCAGGAGAAGCCCTGGGAGCAGGTTTGGTGCAGCTTTCTCTGTGGCCCAGAGGGGCTGTGGCAGTGGCTGCACATTGGGTAATTGTGTGTGCAAATCAGCCTCTTCCACGGGCAATTACACCCCGGTGCTCGCTCGGGGTGCCCAGGCAGCACAGAGGGTACTGCTGCCACGTCCTCGTGTGCTGCTCCTCAGGTCAGACAGCTCAGCAGAGGCAGAGGGAATGGAAAAGACACTGCCTCCCTGTTAGTTTTGGTTTTAAGGGATGAAGAGACTCATGTACAGGGGAAATCAGCCTTTGCAGTGGGAGCTGCAGCAGGAGCTCCCGTAGGCAGTCCCCCACCTGAGCCAGGAAGCTGAAACAGCCCCTTGATCAGCCTTGTACAGCTCAAATGCCCTTCAGAGGAGTCCTGCCTGCCTTTGGAGTGATCTGGCTCTGTGGGATGAAGGCAACACGCTGGAAGCTTCTCCACGAGCACCCAACAGGAATCTTGCTCTGGCTGCTGCAGCCATGGGATCACAGCTCCCTGCAGAGACCTGTCTGGCACCATAGCCCTCCTTCCAATTTCTGAGCTAAAGAGCTTTTCGGACCCCATCCAGATTTAGATGGAGCAGGGATGGAGTGGGGGCTGTGTCATCCCTTTCTCTCCTAGGAGCACAACAGGGCTTCCTGCAGCCTATTTCAGCCCTGAAATTCAATGCTCAAAACCAGGAAGGAGAAAGACATCCTTAAGGTTGTTTATGAAGGCTTCAGTGGAGCTCACTGTTTAACTCACAGCCTTCCAAAGAGAGAAAAAAATATCACAACAAACATTAGAAATGTTCAGGAAACAAAGAGAGAAAAAGTGGAGTCTGTTCCTGAATTAAGCAGCCTGCCAACCACCAGCAGCCCCAGCTCCTCTTCAGTTGTAAGCAAAATATTCCAGAAGTGTTTAACTTTCCTACAAAGTCTTTGAAGAGGCTTGTTACCATTACAATGAGCAAAGCACAAACAGGGCTCTTCAGTCTTGGCCAAACAACTGACTGAGCCTGGAGTAACCACAGACCCACACAGCTCAAGCAGGGATGATGCACAGCCCTGCTCGGTGGGGAGCAGAATGTGGGCACAGGAAGGCAGAGAAGAATCCTATGAGCTCTGACAGCTCCAAATTATCCCCTGGTGTAAAGCTCTCTCACAGGAAAACAATAAACCATTAGGGATTTTTGTTGTTTTGGGGTTAGAATTCTAGAATAGAACTACAAAATCTTCTGAGCTGGAAGGGAACCACAAAGATCAAAGCCGAGCTCCTGGTTCTGCATGGGATAACTCCAAAATCACACCACGGGGGTTTTTGATGAGGATGGCTTAAAGCCCATTTCAATCTACACAGATGCAGAGGTCGTGGAAGTCCTTATCTGAACAAAGGCAGAAGAAGCTGTGTTCCTGCAAGCTGCTGGGACTGCAGCAAAGTGTGGGGCTAGAGCTGGCTCCAGCTGAGCAGGAGGGAGACCTCAGTCTGTGGCTACCCTCTACTGAGCAGAGAAGGTGCTCCTGTGCCCTGCGGGAGGATAGTGGGTGCTGGGTCCCACAGTGGCCAGGGAGACACCAAGTGAGGGCACATCTCCATCCCACAGCTGTGGCTTACCAGCCCAAGCCCCAGTCAGCATTCAACTGAAACCACTTCTGCATATTTTGGGATGCAAACAAGCACCCATCCTCAGTACATCTGTGTCTTATGCTGGGAGAGGTCAGAATGACACCGAATCATCTTTAGAGGGCAAGAGCTGCTTGCAATGCCTGTTAACCTTCAAAGTGTTCTCTCGCAAGCAAACTCCCCAAATGCCCTCCTCTAAAAATAATGCAACATAATTATGCCATTCATCACTTTTTTTCCCTCCCCTTTTTCCCCACGCAGCTCTGTAACCTACAGCCAAAGCCATGTTTCCCTAAGCAGAGTTTTGATAATACAGCACTATTCTCATCTCCGGCAAGTTTTACTGTAATTACAGAGATGTGTTGCAGACATTACACACTCTATAATTAGCACTAATTGCATTACATTGTCACAAAGAAGTCATTTACACTCCACGAGTTCATGAGATGGGTCTGGACAGTTTAACAGAGATGAGAAGCACTTAATGGCATCCCACAGAAGTGGCCAGCAGGAGCAAGGACAGCATCCAAGAGGCTCTCCCAGACCTCCAAGAGGGAGGGAGATTTGGAGCACAAATGCACAAAAAGGCTTCTCCACTAACCTCTGTCAGATCTAGAGAGTTCTCAGAGAATGGGGAAGATGAAATGCTCTAAGTTGGAACTTTTTTGGGAGGGGGGAGGGCCGGTGGGGGAGGGCAGTGTGGGTTGAAGCCTGTTCTAAACTGGTGGTGGCTGGGAAGGATTTCTGTGGATGCTGTGCCCGTGGGAGTGTACAGCCCCAGTATGACATGCTTTCCCTCCTGATGCCCCACAGATCCAATTTGCTGCTTCCCTTCTCCCCTGGCATCACTCTGCAGCCCATGAGAAAGGGAGAGGCAGGGGAAGCAGGAGAGCTGGAGCTCAGGGTCCTGCCAGCACTTCAAGCTCACACCGAGCTGCTGCTTCCCTCCTCCCATGGCCTGCACATACAGGGCAGAGAAAAAACCTGAAGGCAGAAACAGAATGGCTTCATTGTGGTCACTGGGAGCACAGGAAAACCTCAGTCTCCTCCCCTGGCATTTCACTGGGGAACCTGGTTGAGACCCTTATGTGAGACCTCCATAAAAGCATGGCTCGCTTTATCTGGTATCCAAGCAAACCCAGCTGGGTTTTGAGGATTGCCCTGGCACACACTCTCCAGGGCCCCAGTTTGGCTCTAGACTCTTTCCTGACACCTGCTCAGATGCAGGATTCCTCCATGCAGAGCCTGGCTCGTCCCTTGCTCCTGTGCTCTGCTGTGAGCACTGTGGGCTGGGAACCAAAGAGCTGCACTAAAGGGCTACCTGAGGAATTTCCCTCTGTCTGGTTGGGATTTGACCCTGCAGCACTTACAGTGTTTTTAACCTATAGCTTAGGTCTACTAAGGGCTTGAGTCCTTTATTTTTTTCTCTGCTACAGCAGTGTCCCACTCCTGCAGCCCCTTTGGCTTTCCCCGGCACTCAGCAGGCTCTCCAGGATTGCAGCAATGCTCTCAGTAGGATGCAGCACCCCAGGATGGATGGGCTAGGATTGGAGGAGAGCAAAAGGGCACAAAAGGGAGCAGAGAAAGCCCGTGCTGGAGGAGGAGAGGCTCTGCTTTGTATTTAAATCCAGTTAGATCCTTTGCCAGCTGAATTGGTTTTGACGGGGCACAGATGGGAACAGTTCATGCACAGGGAGGAAGGAGCCATCACTTAGTGAGAGGCAAAGCTGACCTGGCAGAAGGCACGAGAGGGTCAGGCCACCATGCTGCAAAAAACCTCTGCAGCAAAAAAATGTCTCTGCATGATGGGGATGGGGGAGCAGCTGCTGCAGGGGGGGATCTGTGCCACTCTCACATACCCAAACATCTGGCCAGCTGCAGCAGGGATGCAGAGATTTCTTGGCTTAAGCAAAGAGAAGTGTGATATTTTGGCAGAGGAATAAGGATGGTCTCCCAGCTGGTGTCCCTCTAGAGTGGAGATCCCATCATGGTGGGGCCCCACAGAATGACATCAGGGATAAGTCTGGCTCCAGAGGTTTTTCAAGATCAACAGGCAAAGGCAGGACCAAGCTGGGAGGGCAAGGTGGCAGTACCCTGGCACAGTGGAGCTGGGAACAGCCCAGTGTCTGTGACCATGCTTCCCCAGACAGGTGTCAGGCCTTGCTTGGGCTGGGCTCTTCATCATAATTAATTCCAGTGTAAGACATAATCAACGAGAAGAAATAAAGGTGGCTTAGCAAGCTCCAGCCCGTGGATGTGCTGCTGGTGTCTACAACCCCACCAGACCTGACTGGACCTGTGGTTCCCTCTTGTCCAGCATCCCATCACTGCTGTCCCTAACATTGCTCAGACATTTCAGGAGAAATTCCTGAGCCTTCTCCTAAACTGAGGAGCCAGAGGCTGGTGGGGCTGGAAACCAGAGGTTGTGGCTTCCTGCAGAAAACAGATTTATGGGGACAAATACAGCTCTTGGGTCTGAAGCTCACTGAACCTTTTCACCTCTGCAACTATGAATTTTTCAAGCCAAGGATGCACTGGGAGACCTGGCACCTCCATTTTACTGCTCCCAGCTGACTAGCAGAGGTATGAGGCATGTCCCTGTGAGGTCAGCACTAAGCAAAACTCAGTAACATAAGCAAAACTCAGTAAGGTGTTGTCCCTTTTGGGCCAAACAAGAAGGGGCTGTTGCCCCTTCTTTGGGACACCAAACCCATGCCAGGCAAACAAGCTGGGAGGGGTCTCTGCTTCTTTCCAAGAAAATCTAGTAAATTTGATCCCTAGCTCTATCAGAAGAGGCAAAACCCAACTGTTTTCCCAAAAGTTTTGGGGGTCTTGGGGCAGGGAAGGGAGGTGAGGGTCAGCAAGAAATTTGTGTATCAAAGAAACTCAGCTCAGTGGCCAGTGGCCAAGGACTTTTCATGTGTATTTCCAGCCTCTGCCAGGAGACCCTCAGATGCTGGAAGAGCCTTTAATTCAAACCAGGTGCCTCTGAAAACACTCAGAAAGGAGAACTTGATCACTTTCCCTCAAGAGAAAAAAAAAAAGGTATAATAATGAGGGCAATCGTGCACGTTTCAGTGAACAATCATTTCTAGCACAACCCTCCATGCTCCCAGCTGCCCACTCCAACCACGGAAACTGAAACCTTTGGTGGGCTGGAGGGAGGAGAGCCAGGCACAGTGCCCAGCACAGCAGCCCCAGGCTGGTCAAAATGCACCACAAACTTTTGGTACCCTGCCCTGCTGTGCCCATGAGCTGAGCATCAGCTCTCCCTCAAGCTGCTGAGAGCCCCAGAGGGGCAGCTGCAGCTCAGGAGTGATCCCTGCTGGGAAGCTGGCATGGACATCACCAACAACTCTCCCAAATCTAGTGCTTGCCAAGCAGATCCATAAATAACAACAGAGAGACTCAGGAAGAAGGGGACCTGCCTCCCCAGGCCTACCCTGCAATGACGATGAAGAAGTCCAGGCGGTTCCACGTGTCTCCCAGGTAGCATTTCTTCCCAAAAATCCCCAGTGCAATCATTTTGACGATCATTTCCACAGCAAAGAAGGCAAAGATGAAGTCATCAAAGCTCTGCAAAAAAAAAAAGGAAGGGAGGAGGGATGCTCCTGCACACTTGCACCAAGGGAGGGAATTAGAAACCTGAGTGCAGGAAGGTCTCCTCTTGCATCTCTAAAAGCTAAATCCCTGGGAAGAAGCTGTGCTGAGAGCAGCCCTGTGTCTTCCCCAGCCCAGATGGTCCAACAGCGCCCATAGTGCCAGAATAATGGGACAAGGATATTTTGGGCTCTTCTTTCCCTGACCTCTAGATGGTTTGCCTTCCCCAAGCACTCCAAGAAAGGTTTAGCTGGGCTGGGGCTGTGCCTGACAGCACTGCACGTTCTCACCCGAGCACCAAAACCAGCATTTTTCAAGTGCTCACAGGACAGCCAGTGCAGGCAGAACCTGACATCCTGGGACACCAGGGCTGGAGCCAGCCCAGTCCCTCCCTCCCTCCCATCACCCTGAGGCTGGTGCTGAGCTCCCGGCACGCCGGGGCCGTACCTGGAGGATCCGGCAGCGCGGCGAGTCGCAGGCGATGTCCTCGCAGGGGTGGAACATGCCCAGCGTCACGCAGTTGAGCAGGATCACCAGCATGCTGACCCTCTCAAACCATCTGCACACGCCCGTCAAGGAGGCAACACACCCAGAGGTGCATCCAGGAGAAGCAACGTCTGAGCTGGAAAGCTTTTCCTGGTCTTTAAGGCCAGGAGCAGAGCAGCTTCCCTGTGTTAGGCGTTCTCTGGGTTTACATGTTGATCTGCCTGTGTATTCTCCCTGTGGGAACCCAGGGCTTCCCTCTGTCTGCCCTGGCAGGTCTGGGACCCCCCTGGACAGAGCCCCCAGAGACACTGTTTGTGATCTCTGGCCATGCAAAAGAGTTTTCAATCTTACAGGATGAATTACAAGCTCTGAGTGTTTGATATAAGTAATACTTAAGTGTGGCAAGGGTGCAAAAGTAAAATTTTAGGATTCTAGATAAGAGGTTCAAAGGGGACAAGATGGAGGAAATTGGGTGTGCCTTGTCCTTTTTCTCCTTCTTCATGCCCTCCATGTCTCACTGTGGTGTTGGCATTTTTCTGTTGGCTCAGGCTGGGGACGCACTGTCCAACGTAGGTGAGAGATATTGGCACGTTCTTGTAAATGCAGCCCAGGGAGTTTCTGGTATTTAATGTTTGTAACATCCCACTGAGGGCAGAGCCCCACACGCTGCCCTGCAGGACAGAGCTGGGCAGGGCAGCAGAACATGTGAGAGATAAACAGAATAAACAACCTGGAAACCAGCACAGACCAATTCTGGCTTCTGCTTTGGCAGTGGGGCTGAGAGACAGAGACTTTCTACAATCTCAGAATCATCAATACCTCAGATTCCAACACTCCCCATGCTGCCATCAGTGGCTACAGCTGATGTGAAAACCACTCTAAAATGGAAGTTGCATGGCAAGAGTGCTGAGTGCTGACGTGATGGATTAAAACATTTAATTAAATGAGCGATATCAACTTTTAGAAAAAAACTCAAAAACCCCACACCATTAATTTCCTCTCCTGGCGTTTTACAGAAAAGCACTTCAACATTACAAATTCTATTAACCATGTCCCAGCTTATCCCAGGGGTGCTTCCCCAAAGCCGCTGCTTAAACTCTCATTCCCAATCCAAATCAAGACTGTCAAACCCATTAATGAACAGCCTAAAAGCCTTTAAGTGAGGGCCAGCAGAGCCCATTCCATACCCTGCCTCCTGCCCCTCAGAGCAATTCTGAAAGAGCTGAACTGCTGGAGCAGATGTGGGATGCACTTTTGGGGCAGAATAGAGTGTGCTGCTGCAGCACATCCCCTTAGGGATGGCTCAAACCTGGTACCCACTTCCTGCATCCTTCTGGGAGCATTTCCAGGAGCACAGAGATGGGAAATCCAGGCGCTGGTTCAGCGTGGTGCTGGGGTTATCTTCCAGCCTAGCATGAAAAACACCCTCTCGACTGCCAGAACCCACAGACAGTGGGGCCATGCTCCTGCCTGAGTGCCAGCAGCAGCTTCTATGCTCCAGGAAAATAAGCATGGCCCTTGTCAGACGAGAGTTTTCACTGCGACACGGCAGCGGGTGGTGTTGAGGAGCCCGTGCTGTAGCGTTATCTGCCTGGGGAAGCTGAAGGTGAGGATGATTCAGCAGGTGCCTCCCCACCCTGCACCCAGGCCTGGGGCTGGCAGCTCCTGCCACCCATCCTGGGCCAATTCCTGGAACATCACACGGGGCTGAGTCACGGTTTGGTTGTCAACAATCTGCATCTCAACTGGGAGAAATGTTTACAGGATATTGGGATCGACATTCCAACTGTCAGGGTGGGGCTGTGGGCTGGGATATTCAGCCTAAATATAATCCTGTGGGGGCAGGCATGGAGGGCAGCCAGAAGAAGGGGCAGCTACTGAAGGGAATCCCCAGCCTGGGGGGATCCTCCAGCAGAACCAGCCATGTCCAGGGCTCTGCCAGCAAGGAGCTGCAAGGCCCTGGGGAACATAAAGAATGAAAAGAAACCCTGTATGATCCCAAAGGGGTGACAGAAGGAATGTCACCTTCGTGGGCTGTGCATGCAGGGAAGGGAGGATGTCCCAGGACAGCTGGGTTGGTTGGGTCAGAACCTGCAGAGACAGATGGACAAGTCCCAAGATCCATTCAAATTCTTCCATGGCAGTGCACAAGAGCCTTCACTGCATGTGGATCTCCTCCACACACTCCAGCCCAGCTTTTGCCCCTGGGGACTACAAATTCCTGGGCAGGCAGAGATGGGCACACAGCCATGGTGGGCATCAGCTTGGAGCTCTCTGATCTCACCTCCTCCCTGCCCAGGACCCAGCACAGCCCTAGAGCTCACCCAGGGCAGCTGAGCAGAGCCAAGCCCACCACAGCCCCAGCGTGGCACTGAGGGATAGCAAAGGCTGAAATGGAAGAGCACAGGATGGCACCAGAGACATCCTCCCTGTCCTTCCCTGGCATGCCACAGTCTGCATCATGCCTCAGCTGCCCCTCAATACTCATTAGGGTGCTGGCACTGGTACCAGTGACTGACTGCAAGTGGAGGGAAGCCAGGAGAGTGCAGCCCCCAAGATGCCACAACCTGCCCCACCAAAGGGCACCAGCTGTGGCCAGCAGGGAGATTTGGGGACCAGCACGACATCTGTATCTCCAAGAGGGTCCCCATGGCACAGCCAGCAGCCTGTACCTGCCCAAAGACCTGGTGCCCGGGGCCAAACCTCCCACCCTGGCACAGCCATGGCCTCCCCTGTGCTGCCCACCACGGTTCTGGTGAAGGTGCCCCCATCCTGTCCTGTCCCCCCATCTAGGGCTGCCCTCCCCACATCCCAACTTGTCTTGCAGGAACAAACATCTGCAGGCAGGAAAACAGCCTGGAGAGGGGGGAGGACCGAGGGAGAAGGAGGGGGTGTTTATTTGCTGAGGTTTTTTTACCCCAAATTTAACTGCAGACCACTTATCAGCACATTTCTCCCTGGAGCACATACATTTCAGTCCAATACAACACTTCACCCTGATTAAATATTCCCGGGACAGGCACCCCAGCAGTGCCAAGGGCAGTATGTTAATGTGCAGCTGATAGATCAGAAGGTTGGGGAGGAGTGTTATTTTTTCCCTCTTCTTTTTTTTTTTTTTCCCAGCTGAATGAAGATTCAAGCTCTTTCTTCTGCTAATGGGATTTTCAGAGGCACACAAAGTGCTGCTGGCTATGGCTTTGTACCGACCCTCCTTTGAGCAAGAGGCTGACAAAGGGAAACTCTTCAATTAGCAAAAGCAGAAGGTGCTTTTTTGAATGCCTCTCCCTGCTGCAGGGCAGGCAGGGAAGGGGCAGATCAGCTTTGGGGAAGCATCAGAGGTAGTGATGGTCCCTGGCCAGCAGTTCAGGTGAGGAGGAGAATATTTGAAAGGAGGGGCAGAGGTGGCATTGCCACCACCCAGTGTCCCGCTGAGCCCACAGCCCTCACTGCCTGAGATAAATAAACAGAGCTGCCCTTCAGGGTCCTGCCCCCTCCTCACACCAAGCAGGGCTGATATTTAAAAGAAAAAGGATTAATAATGGGGTTCATGACCCCAGGTGATCACCCCATCCACCCCACCCAACGGGTGTCAGAAAGTCACCACTTTAAAGGGTCACCTCTCATCCCAGAGTATTCTTAAAAATCCACATTTTTACAATCGTAAAACATGCTCAAGGCAGGCAGCCAAAATCCTCACAGATTCTTTTCAACTAAAAAAAAAAAATCTGTTTCTGCCACACAGAAATTCGCAGTAACACTTCTGTTGTAATCTGACTCTTAAAATTCATAAGATAGAGAGAACAAAAGAAAAAAAGAAGGAAAATGTCCAGAAGTCACTGACTTGTTACCAAAGGAGCCCTTTCACAGAGCAAGAGCCCTCAGCTCCTTCCCACCACCAGTGCTCCCAGTGCCACGTGCCCACGATTCACATCACCTGACCTTTTGTAATTAAGAGGCAAGAGTCCCAGATTCAATTAGCCAGCACTACCCAGCCTAATATAATCAAAAGAGAAAGATATTGCATTATGCTTGCTATGATTTGGTTGCAGAAGTTTGGATCCAATCCGCCAGTGGGTGAATTAAATTGGGATCTGTTGCCCAGAGGCAGCAGTGAGCAGGTGAGATGCTCTGGCCAGCTGCATCCCGGACTCTCTCCAAGGAGCTGCAGCACTTGCACTGGTCCTGGTGGGCTTTGGCTTGGGGGTGAGCAGAGCAGGCACCTCTGTGCCCCAGAGATGGGGATCCCTTTCCCTGGGGAAGTGCCACTGACTGAGCCAAGTACAGAGGGGAGCATTTGGTGATGCTCTACAGGGACACACACTCTTCCATGGGATTAATATTTATTTCTTCCCTTGATGCTTTGCTATTCCCAAGTAGCTCCCACCATTCCCTCTCTCCTCCTTCCCTGCATCCCTCTCTCTCCCTTCCTGATCCTTCTCCCACTCTCCAGCAAAGCAGCAGCTCCAAGGACAGCTGCCACTTCTCTGAGGACACGTGCTGCCATCGTGGGAAGTGGGGGACACCCCTCCATCCCCCCAAGCCCAGCACTGGGATGGGATCAGGGCTCTGTGGGCAAGGGGAGGCAGCCCTGCAGCTCCAGGGGCTGCAGGTTTGCACCATGCAATGCACAGCAATGCATGAAACCCCCTGATCCAGACAGGTGACACTGGGCTCCCTTCACTGCCTATTTTTTAGAGCAAGGAGTTTTTTTGACCCAGAGATCCCATCCAGGACCAAGTGCCCCATCAGCACCCACAGCCATCGCTCCTGTGCCGGGAGGAGCCCTCGCTCGCTGGCACAGCAGCTGGGATTTGACAAATGTGTGGAAAGTGCTGGCAAGGCCTGGAAATTTTTGTGCAAATGTGATATGAAAATTGGGTTGAAATGACAGCCTTCCCCTGCAGTGTCACCAAGTCCCACCAGCTTAGGAGTGACACCGGGATAAGCTGCAGACGTTAATGAGAGTGGAGTTTTAGGCTTCATTCATATCATCAATTCCAGAAATAGCCCCTTTGACAGAAGCATAATGGCACTTCCAGGGCCTGGCCTTTGTGGGGGGTGGGAGAAGGCAGG